GGTTACAGCACTCACTCAAATCCACACATTCCTGCAGGGTTTAGGGAGAGTCGGGTCACCCCTGTGGACTCTGCTCCCCAGCCACTGCCTCAGCCCAGGGGCATTGCTCAGGGTACAGCTGGGACGTTGAAGGGATTTGGGGCTGGAGGGTTGTGGGTGTCTAGGTGGCCTAATAATCAGTAGACATTTGACAGCCTTGTGACTTTGCACACCTGCAGCGAGAGGCTGCGTTATGGGGGATGAGGTGAATCCTCCGGGATGCAAGGGTAGACTTAGTGAAGCTCTCACATCTAATAGACCCCGACAACATGTTCATTCCTGGGTAAGGTGCAAGATCTTATCCAGATATTGAAGTCAGCCAGTTCAGTTGGGAGCATCACATCTCAAAAGCTGACAACTGAATTAGAAACATGAGTTAGGTGCAGGAGTCTGGAGCAAATCATCTAAACTGTCTTAAAGCCAAAGATCTATTAACATTATCTGAGTGGGCTTTTGAGACCATTTCCGAAATAGTCCAAAGGGGACTTTTCGCTCATTGCATTCCTTCATCTTCCTAATGTGATTAGAACAGAGTTGGACTACTTTTATGATCTGCACTCAAAACCCTAACGATTCCTCAGAGAGTAGGAGGCACTGAAATAAAGGAACAATTGAGGCAATTGCTGAGCTGCCTCCCCAGGGAGTGAAGTCAGAGCTCAAGTGAAGAGATGGATTGTGCTGGGTCGGGATCAATGTGGGCAGGAGACTGCAGAGTCATGTGCATGATGGAATATCTCACTCAGAAAAATGCTACTGACACATTTTTCTCCCCTGAGCATGCAGAATATCGGGAGAACATTTCAGGCTTTTGTTTGTTTGTTCTACACGTCGAGTCACCAAGGCTCCGTTGGCTGGGAATAGCTTTGAAACTGAGGCCAAAATCGAGGCGAGTCAGAGTGGCTTGATCTTAGTGTTGGTAAATGTATACATGTGAATTATTTACTTGTCGTCCAGCAGGAAATGAGGAAAGATAACAAGCTTGGGAAAGAAAAGCAGAAAAACAAACAGATGGTATCTCAGCCCCTTGTTCATTTTTTGCTGTCTCTCTTTTTCCTTTTCTTTTCTCTGAGGCAGTTGGCCGTGTCCCACTGCGGACAAATGGCAAAAGACAGCGGCAGGAAGAGGACATAATTTAAAAGTACATCATAACTACTTGGAGTTTGCTCTTGACTGTTACTTTCACTAGAAAGATGGCAACTGCGTAGATTTTACACAAGCAAGTCTGTTTAAAAGGTGTTAGTGAGTACTACTGCATATGTGAAGAAAGGTGTATATATAAAAAATATAATAATGACTTCAGGCTTCATTAGCAGCTGCTAGCATATAACACACCTGAATCTCCAGCTGTCTGTGGTTTTGACAAGGAAGAATAAAGCCTGTTGCTGCTGCAGTGTTTTAGAGTTTTTAACTCTAACCCATTGCAATGTCATGGGAGTGAAATCCGAATATGTTAGTCCATCTTTTGCTCTACTAAAACCATAACTGACCACCAAGTTATTCTGTCGTGACTATGTAGAGCGGCTGCTGTTTAACTGAGCCGGACCTTGTGATGATCTCCTGACCCAATTTTTGACTCCCCTTCTCCCCCTGACCCCGGCTCGACACCCCCTCTCATCCCTAACCTTTCAATCCCATCAGCCTCACTATTGCTCAATCACCTGTGACCAGGCCTTGGCTGCGACCTTTGACCCGAGAAGGTCACGATTAGAGCTGAAAATCATAGCAGCAGAAGTGGGGACCGGGCTGAGATAAGATGCCCCTGGACCGAGAGCTTCGACCCAGCCAGGCAGAACTCTGGAACAGTCATGTCGCCACACCCAATATATCTAGACAAGAAAAGAGCTGCGTATCAAAGGCTCCAGTCATTAGCGCAGGCGGTTGGGGGTTGATTTTATCCACCGTGGTGTGGGGATCATGGAGGAGGGAGAAGCCAGGGAGAATCAATGGAAGTTGTAGCCTAGTGTTGGCAGGCATTTTAATTAGCCCCAATCTCCCCAGACAAGGGGATAGAAGGGAGCAGAGATGGTGACTATGGGAACGCAGAGAGCAGGACAGGAAAGAAAAGAGAGAGAATCAGAGAGAAAGAGAAAAGAGGAGGTGAGGGTCACACGCCCACGGGCTACTCTCACTGTGCCAGATCTAAATATGCAGCACCAAATAAAACATCCTCTCATGAGACCATGGGTGGCTGTGTCTGGTTATGGGTTGCAACAAATACACATGCAAGCAATGTGGACACACACATACCAAATCCCTCCCAGCCATCTTATCTTGTAAATGTGTGGCAATCGTTATATAAAACTTGGAATTTGGAGAGATGCCCTTAAGAAGCCATCCTGTAAATGAGGAGGCAAAACGTTCCCATGCTGGGATAAATTCTTTAAAATTTATCTCAGTGGTTCCCCACGGACTTCACACCGCTCAGGAGTGCACTTAAAAAACACATTCCTCTTCCTCTTCCTGCACGTTCATCACCTCCTCCACGTCCGTCTTTATCCTCTGCACCCTTTCTGTCTCCTCCGTCCACTCCTGCCCACCAACTCACCAAGTCTGGCCTCTTGTTTGTTTGGACAACAAAATGCACCAAACACACTCCATCGTGGGAGTATCTGGGAATTGTAGTAGCAAAAAAGGGATGGTGGGAGTAGAAGAGGGGGTGGTGGTGTAGTTGGGGTTATGCACCTCTCGTGGACCGCTTCTGCTTATTATGCTGAATCAGAGCAAAGGCAGACATAGAACTAAACTCCAGTACAACTGGTCAGAGGGCTGTATGGCGAATCATTTAATGCACTCATAACAGCAGCTAGAAAAAGTTGTGTTCAAAGACTTTTTATTTATAACATTTAACCAAACCTTTAGAGCATACATTAAAACATATCCTTGCTGCTCTGCAAAATCCAAATCCAAACCAATGCAACCTTCAGCCTGTTCAGTTATGTAACTGACTTTTTTGATAGTAAAGTAAGTGAACATTTAACAAAAAAGTATATATAGTGGAAATAAAATAATTCACATATTACCATCAACACTGGATGTTGTCTAGGTAGTTGGTCATTGGCTGTAGTGTTGATCTCTCCTAACCCGATGATCATGTTACTTTCAATTACCTGAACTGATGTTAGCTTAGCTGGTGAAATGGTTTTGGTCTCAGTGTTACAGGCACAGTGGTAGATCCCAAGACCCAAACACAGAACTGAGTGACTGAAATTAAAAGTTGGTAAAGGAGTGTGAAGTGTGTGTGTGTGTGTGTGTATTCTAACAGTGGCACAGTGCCATGGTATCAAGGCAGGCTTCATCTTACTGCTCATGTAGCAGTGCCAAGTTTTGTCCTCAACTGGCCCACCCAGGATGGCCCAGTAATGGCTCTGCCTGATCAGGTGCTCAAGACACACACACACACACACACACACACACACATAAAAACCCAGGTCATCTCAGGTTAAGTTTTAACACGAAACATGATGGTGGTTTGACAAAACAACCACAGCTCAAGGTCCACTTACTAGCATTTTCTGTGAATACTCAGTCCATCCACACAAACTCCATTTGCTGATGACGCTGTCATGGAGACGGATCTGTTGACATAAGAGCTCAGTACCTGTTATAATTGCATCCAAAGTGCTTTAAGGACTGAAAGTGAAGCCTGAAAGTTCATTCTTGACCTTGGAAATAGTAGCTTGGCTAAACAATTCCAACTCAAGCTCCACTTACTAGCTTTTTATGGAACTTCCAGCCAGGTAAAAAAATGTTTTTTTCTTATCAATCTATCCTCCTTTTGGGTAGAATTACGTACTCTTTCTCGAGCTGTATCTTTGGAACAGTGTGAAACTGAAACCTCAGCTGCATCCTGCAAAGCAACAGTAGAGATGAAATGACTGAGGAGAACATTTCATATCTCTTAAGAGTCAGCAGTGCTAAAACTGTCAGTGTGGTCTGCAACCAAGTGACAACAGTAAACATGTCCATGAGGAGAGAGAAAGAGAAGTCGTGCACGAAATGCAGCATTTGTGTTATTCATGCTTAACTGCCATGAGTGGACACATGTTTTTGTGCAGCCCCAAAGCCTTTCAGATGGAGGAGCAATTCTTCTTTCACTGAGCTACGAAACCCAAACGTGTGTGTGTGTGAGTTCACGTGTTAGTGTGTATTGTCAAAGTGATGAAGTTGTATGTGTTAGCCTGTGTATGTGTGTGGGAGGGGGGTACTGAAACTCAACGTTGGCGAGTTGGGGGCGCATTCCTTTGTTGATTTAGTGGGCGTTAAGATGAAGAGGAATGTGTCCAAGCTGTGGAGGCTTTAGTCCACTGCATTGTAAACCGGCTGGGAGGAGCTCTGAGGCTTTCTGACAGCTCAGACTGACGGATGACTGACACTTGGCTTAATGTGAGAAGGATGGAGAGCAGAGGAGAGTGGTGGGAGGCAGGGATGGACAGGAGGAACCTGTAGGAAGAACTGTGATTGAGAAAGACCGTTTGCACTTTAGAGAGAAAAGAGAGATTAATAGAGATATAACATTCAGGGGGGGTAGGGTGTGGGCATGAGCTGAGATGAAGGGGAAAGAGACGTCCAGTCAAAAGAGGAGGAAAGGGTGCCAGAAATTGGGATAAACGAAGGGGGAAAAAAATGTGAAAAAGAGTCACATTCTTATACACAAGGAGAGGCTGATCAAGAGAACATAACGACTCAAATCAAGAGGATTTCAGAAGCTTATCTTTATTTGCTCAAGATGGTTTGATAGTTGAAAGAAAGAGATACACAGAGAGAGAGAGAGAAACGAGACCGAGAGAGAGAGATGAGGAGAGAGAGAAGATAGGAGAGGAGAGGGGGGTGTGGGGGGGGGGGGTGGAGTGTGAGAAAATACAGAAAGGTTCTTAAGGTCCCATTTTATACAACATCAGTCGCTGGGTCAGTTGTGCAACTTTGACAGATTACAGTAGATCAAAGGAAAGCAAACACAAGTAAATAGTCTACCTCTTTATTTTATGTATTTATAACATATAAGTCATGTCTTAAAAACAGCTAAATCAAACTTCTGTATTGACCCAACGGTACAAACTCTAAAGTGGTGCAAAAGCGTTCATCTAGCAATTTAACATAGAACAAAAACAGGTCAAAAAAAGCATCAGATAAGGTGTGTATATGTTTGTGTGTGTTGAGGATTCACATAGTCCTGAGACAGTGTAAGAATATACAGTATGGTTGTGTGTTTCATGTCAGTGTCTTTCAGACTCTGTTTGTGTGTTATGTGGACTGGACTGATAACACTACTGCGCCTTTGGAATACCACAGCTCACAGATCAGACTGAACCGCTTCAGGGAATATTGGGACATAGAGGATTTCTTGAAAAAAAGCAACTTTGTCGGTTAATTTGGCTGGCACACACCACATAAAATGATAACTCAACATATCACTGCTTGTAACAACCCCCCCCCAACTGATAACAGCAGTAAAAGCACACTTAAGAAGCACTAAAAATGAATGAAACAGCCAAGAATTTAAATTTTCTTCATACCTCTACATCTACGCTTTAGGGAACAGAGGTCTGTGTCGTGCTGGTCTGATCTGACCTAGAAATGGCACCACGCACACTCAGAAGTGATAAAAAGGCAAACCACAGTCAGCGAGTAAAGAAATGTGTACTCACTTCCTCCCGCTGTACGTAAACATGACTTCACTTCCTTCTTATTTCCTGAATTCATCCATACCCTTCATAAATCAACAAAGTGCAAACGCCATTGTTTGTCAGTCTAGAAGCATGCATCATATACAGTTGACACACTGTATACATGACTCATTTACAGTTGAATGATCCCTGTCCTCGCTCTGATTTTTAACACTCCTGCATGTTGTTTTTGACATAAAGCTACGTGACAGTACAGGTCAAGTCAAAGTGCACAAGATCAAAGAAAAGAAACGCGCAAAAAGGAAAAAAAAAAAGGCAGGAAATGAGCGCCCTGTTGTTGTGGATGTAAAACCCATGTCCTTTACCCCGAATCCTCACCTATTCCCACCCACCGACCAAAACTCTGATGCTGATGCTGCCCACCCCTGCTGGTGGGGCCCAGAGGGGCCGACCTGTCACACGGTGAGGGAGATGAAGCTGTTGTATCTCTGGATGTTCCTCTTGAGGATCTCTGAGCACGGCCCCAGCACACGCTCAAATCGGGGCCTGTCCAGCTTCACACACTTGAGCGGGCCGCGAGCAACTACGGTGGCTGCCCTGGGACGGTTCAACAGCAGGGCGATTTCACCTAAAAGAGGAGGAGGAAGAGGAGGAAGAGGAGGAGGAGGAGGAAGAAAGGACCACCAGCTGGGGTCATGAAATGTTCTAAATCTGCATAGTTTTGAGCACCTGTAAAGTATTCAGTAGTGTATTGCTGGGTAATAAATAAGCATAAATAAGTTTTAAGCAGCAGCTCTGATTGTCTGTTACTTGTTTTAATTTTTTCCATCCAGAAACTCTGTTTTTGGAACACAGCAATTGAAACGTTACAACGTTTTTAAGGCAAAATGACAACTGATTCTTGCTTCTCAAATGGTAATATCTGCTGCTTTTCTTTGTCTCAATGATTGTGGACACACGTCGTAGTGTGTCCACAATCTTTAAAACAAAGAAAAGAAAGAAACCTTGGGCTCTGGGAACTTGTGATGAGCATTGTCACATAGACTTTTTAATATACGATTAACCCTTAATCAAGAAAATAATCCACAGATTAATTGATAATGATAATAATCATTAGTGGCATAACAATGTTATTTTTGGTATGTTTTTGTCATTTAATTTCACAGCATAATTAAAGACTCCACCATTATTAACATCATCTTCAAGACTCCAGTTTATTCAACATTTGTGACAAAAATTGCTAAAAATGTAATGGATGGAAATCTTATTATAATACAATATTAAGACAAAATATTAATTATACCTCTCAGCGCAATCTAACTTACATTTGACATTTCTCAGCTACGTGACAGAGTTGCTTTTTTTTGTTTCTCCTTGCGCAATTTATATTCCTAAAGCTAAATAACAGGTATAGCATCAAACCAGTTATTGTTTTGACAAATTGCTTCTTGTGTGGGATGCTAGACTTGGAAGGGAAAGAGCTTTGTCGGCCAAGAGCCACTCACCAAAGTAGTCAGAGGGTCCGAGGCGTCCAACCTCCACATACTCCTCATTGTCAGACCTGCGCTGCAGAACAGAGGCGATTCCCTGGAGACAGAAAAGAAGGAAAGTTGGATGAAAGAAAGAGACAAGAGAAAGAACAGGATGAGAGAGAGAGAAATAGGAAGAGGAGGGGGTGTTGGTGAAGAAGGGAAAAGGGAGAGAAAAGTAGGAGTTATTGAGCAAGGGGGCTGAAAACCGTCGGGAGGATTAAGCCGAGGAGAAATTCCTTTGCTTCACAAGAACACAGGTGCACAGGATTTAGCCCACTTTTCTGTGGGACGGACACCTGCTCTGTGGGACGCTTGTGAGCACAAACACAAAACAGCACAGATATTCCAACGGGGTACGTGATACAAATTCTGATTGGTTCTGCTTTACTTCCTCCAGGGTGTAATAAATACAAACATCTAAGCCCGTTAGAGGCTGAACTGATTTCTCAGTGTCTCCATCACTTAATCCCCTTTATCAGCATTCACCCACAAAATGGAAACAACTGTATTGTCCAAGACTCCAGCTCCAATATAGTGTCCCTAAATGATCCCAGAAACACTAACACACTTTCATGCGAACACCCCAACACTTAGCATGTTGCTAACTCACATGTTCTATTGTGCACTAGCAAACACACACACACACACACACACACAAAACCAGGCAATGATAACAAGGAACACAGATGGATGCAGACTGAAACGCAAACTTGCACGCGAATGCACATACACACATACAGTGAGAAAATCAACAGCTGATGTCTGCTGGACAGCCCGACTGGACCATGCTACGCATATTACCATCGCCCGCTGGATGTTGTGTGTGTGAGTCATCTAAAAAGTATAACGGAGGAAATCTAATTTCCGTTAACTCTGCCCAACAGATGATAACAGTTCACATTGTACTTTGCAGCTGCTGACAAACTTTGTGTGTGTCTGAATGAGCATATTTTTGAATATTTATCTTTGCATATGAGCCACTAAATTTCTCAAAAATCTTGGCTGTTTGTGTTTTCTGGAACATATGTTTGGCGTGGAGGTAGAATATGTGTTTTTAATGTCTGACCTTAGCTGTAATTGGTAGCAGGTAAAAAATCAGTAGGGGAACTTTCCCAGTGCCTCTTGGACCGTGTCCGTAAAACAGACTTGACCGTTCCAGCACTCTCTCTCAGACTCTGTCTGTAATCCGTCTCTGCTCTCTCTGCTCCTTCTGCTGACCAGGATAATAATGCTAAATATGAATATAATGAGCTTTAATGAGAACCCCAAAACTGCCAGCTCTTTGCTGCAGGCATACAAAGGTGAGACTGTGTTTCAGTGAAAGGGATACGTGTGTAACGTACGTGTGAGTTTTTGCTTGAAATGAACTGTGGAGAAGTTGGGGATTCTGTTCAAGTGAGCGGGGCATACCATGTCTGAGGGATGACCTCCAAGTAATATTTAGCCAAACTGTGCCGTGATGTGCCAAACTGTGCCGTGTGCTCTTTGATGTGTCATATTTCCAGCCTGGTTGCCACTGACAAATTCATTTTTCTTTCAAGAGAAAAAGCTGATTTGTACTTCAATACAATGTTGGCCCAACTACAGATCTTATTTACTAGTTTGTTGCTTGCTTTTCACAGTAGTGCCTGTAGCTGTACGAGGCAAACATTTAAAATAAATAAATAAACCCCAGGCTCCCGTACCAGCTGCACTTCCTCTCCTCACCTCTTGCTGTCGCTGTCTCTCATGTGTATGTCCATGGCATTTTGTTGTCACGTGCTGTGTTCGGTCGAAGCACTTCATTCACTTTGCTTTGGGTTGCTGTCTAAAAAGCTAATTCTGACATAAAGATATAAACTGAAAATGTACTGAAAATAAATTGCCACTGTGGGCAAATTTCTAGCACTTATTATTTATATATATTCTTATGTAACAGTCCACCTTTAAGTTGGACTTTTGAGGGAAACATACAAGGACTATTCACACAGTATTAGAGTTAGTGGTGAGTTGTACTTGGAAAGCATGTGTATTTGTGTGTGGTTTTAGTGGGTTTTAGATTTATTTGAGATTTGGTCAAAATCACTATCACTTGTCTACAGCAAAATTAAATTTGTCTGATTAGGCCTACTGATTAAAGATTAGCCAGTCTGAGTCGCTGAACTGATCACCCAAGACATTTATCTGATCACTCCTGAGCACGAGGCAGAAGGCTGAACCTCTGGGTCCTAATGCTGCTCCCGACGGCGGCCTAACTCCTTACGTGTTCACAGTTTGCTTTTGTGGTTGACTAAAATGCTGCTGTGCCTACCAGTAAGGCTTTTCATTGTATACAGTATGACATTTAAGCCACAATGTGAACACAGCTTGAACGAGCATTACTAGACTGCAGCAAATACAGTCTAAATCACATTGAAAAAAAGGGAAACTAATACTGATTCAAAGACATGGGACAAATTAACGTCGATCTCTGTCCATCGAAACTGTACTCTTCCAAGGGCACCCTGGCGACCTAAGGCGTCAACCATACACTGTATAATTATAAATGGACGTAGTCTGCGTGACGTCAACCGTAGGTTTCTAAAGAGTCATTGTGAAGCTCAAAGTGCGGTGGGTCTGACCGTCGCCATCTTTAGAAGCAGTGAATTGTGCATAACTTTAAGCCTTAACATAATTTAAACAGGCGAGTTATATAAAAATTCACCCCATTTACAGTTGTCATGAACGGGGTATTTAGCTATAGAGACAGAGAACAGTTTTTTTTTTACCAGGTTGTAAACATGTTTATTTCTGCTGTAAAGTTGGACATTTTAATATGGGGGCTTATGGCGATCACTCACTTCTGTAGCCAAACCCAAGTTTTTGTTACTTTCGCTTCATTTGCCAACCACTGTGTTTACCACTCCAAACTGTGTGTCACAACGGCCTTTGTTGTTTCTCTCTGCCCATATTTTCTGTCATCTCTCTGCTGTCAGCTACTGTTCTCACAAGTCACGTATCTATCCAAATGTAGTGCAAACAAAATTAATGTATTTCCATTCACTACCGTAATATAAGGAGCTGAGTGCTTTGAGATAAACAGCTGGTGGCCCACACATATCTGGTGTCTTTGTCTGCCGTCCTTTTTTGTGTCTCTGGTGAAACAGAAGCTTGAGCGACAAATAAGTCACATGCTTCATGTCTATCATAATTTATTCATTTAGTGTGTTTCAGTCAGTGTGTAAAAATGTTTTAGTTCTTTTTAATGTTTTTTAATGCGTAAATTGAAAATGTGCAAAAAACAGGAGGATGGAAACAGTTACAAATAGTTACCCATTATTGTTTAATGAAGGTCATTGCATTAACTTTTCATACAGTGACCAAAGAAACAAAACCCCATAAAATGATACCACCGCACCTTTCTCCCATGTTTAACCTAAGTGAAAACACTACAGCGACCACTTTTACTGAACTTTATGACACCGCACCAAACAAGCGGGTTGAGTGCAAACGTGGTATAAAACAGAGATGTGAATGGGGAGAGAACGAGGGGGGTGGGGCAAAGAAGCTCCTGTGTTTACGACCAGTTGATTCCTCTCCTTTCCATTCATGTCCAAACAAAGAAAGTGAGACAGTGCAGCACCGTCAAGTACAGTAGTTCATTCGTGAACATCACCCAGTGTGGTCTAGATAACCATCACACACTGTACCACCCCAGGGGCAGTGATCTGCTCCAAAGATATTTCTTTTATAAACATTGAAGATCCTCCTCGCCAGGCTGCCCGACATAGGGACTGGCAACGACAAGACAAAAGGGAAACAAACAGAAAGTATGAATGAATGAATAGTAAATAAACCTCAGACAAACAGAGAGAGGAGAGAGGAAAACTGTGAGGCAGAAGGAAGAAATCATCACTACTATGTGGTACTGCTGGTCAGACAACGCTCCTTACAGTCCTTAACCAAAATGCACATTCACACCCACTCATATCTAAACACACATACCGCACACAGAGCATAGCGAGTTGGCTCGTGGTGACATGTCTAAATGTAGCATCTTGCATGTAGGAAGTTACCCACTGTTGGATCGACAAACGGGACGAAAAGAAAGAGAGAGAGAGAAAGAGGCACAGTGAAAGACGCAGGAAGAAAGGCGATATCCTGAGTAGCCTGTTCAGGAGGCCACCCAGTACCAGCAGTGTCTGCACCTTCTCACTCAAACACCCACACACACACACACACACACACACACACACACACACAAGGACTGCACTCTTGAGAATATGCAATGGCCTAAGGGTTGCTTTTCAAAAAGTAAATGACTCAAAAATGGTTTCACCCAATTAAGAGCTGTTAATCTTTACCTTTGTTCTTCTGACTGTATGCTTGCACTTAGACAAAAATGGCTTAATTCATTAACTGCATTGATTCTCAGTCTGTAAAAACCAGCGTTAAGCTCCATTTGCTAAATTGCATTTCAGCACATACGTGTATATCACACTAACAGGCGATATACTGTAAACAACCCACAGGGGATTTCTCTGTTGTGTGACCCACAGGGACCCTTTAAATACCCTCAGTGTGATTACTTTTGTGTGGGGTCAAAGGACAAATATGAGATAACACATTGAGTTGTTGTTTAGATTGATTATTGGGGAGACGAGAGTGAATGCATTAGCAGAGAAGACGAACAACCCTCATCTGATTTTACAAGTCAACGCGAGTCACATGACTTAGACTCCAGTCATAAGGCTGACTGACTTCATTTCAAAATCAAAAAAGACTTGTGTTTGACTTTAACACAAATGACTTAATTTGATTACTTAAGGATTTAAAATAATATGAATAAGAATTAAAAAAATAATGTCTGATTCGTTAATTAGCAACAAATCACCTTTTAATTATCCTGACAATGCATCCACTGTACTTTGACTCACTCTGACAGCAGCATGAGCAGAATGGAAAGGTGAGTTTGGCTTTGTAGACCAGCAAAAGGGAAACTTATTTGGCTCAAAACTTTAAAATGGCACAGGAAAGTGGAAGTAATGGAACTCGAAGAATGAGTAATATGTACAGATAAAAGTAAATGTACTAACTGTTCAATGTTTAATATGAAAGAAAGCCACGCAGTGATTTGTTTAGAACTTAAAACACAAGTGCTGGTCTCTAATTAAAATCACTGTGAGTTTAAGATAAGTAGAGGTTATCTCAGTGAATTCCTGACAAATTAAAGACATTTTTACAAATTTGTTTGGATCATTTTTTCCCCGTCACACACTCTATGTGAAAGGTTTTGCTGAATATTGGTAAATGGTAAATGGTGCGACCTGTCTTGTATAGCGCGCTTTCTAGTCTTCGACACTCAAACGCTTTTTAATAATGCTACATTACCTTTTCCCCAATTCACTCAGTGACGCAAAGTCATCAACAGACTTAACTCATTTATACATTCAACACGATGCTTTGCATGGACAATTTGGGGGTTCAGTATCTTGCTCCAAGGGATCTTAAGGTGGCAGGAGGGTTGAACCACAACCTTCGATTGGGGGGAACCCGCTCTGCTATGAGCCCGGGATTGTTGGTTATTCATGTACATACAAGTGGAAATCATAAGGAGAGAGACGTTCTGACGGTATGATTATTATGTCATTTCGTGGAGAACTTTCGTAGACTGAATCCGACATTGAGACAATCTTAAAATGAAATGATTAATTTGAAGATTTTAGTTTGTTAAATTGATTTTATTGGTTTTATTTACATAAGGTTACTTGGAATGAGTTGCTTGATTTTTAATGGGAAAAATGCAGATTTTTTGAATTTTCACTTTTTGCCCCAATACGTTGCAATACTGAAACATTGTTTAAATCCTCATAAAATCGCAAAATCCGGGACTGGGTTTAAATAATTTAAAATGGCACTTCATATCAAAAATGGTTCTGCCCCTGACATACGCAAGAAGGCAAATCCAACATGCTTGTTCTTTTCACACATGTTTCAAACTCTACGCTCCTGCTTATCTGATATTATAAGTCTTCTTTATCACTCTTAATCGTTCTTTTGCCCCTTTCATGTGCCATTTAGGTGGCGCGGTGAACACAGATAATCAGGGTGCTGTGGGTGTATGCATGAATGAGGAGAAGAGTGCGCATATGGGTGAGT